ATTTATACCCAGTTCTTCACTACCTGAAGGAGTCTCAGAGCGGCTTACAATCTCCTTTCCCTTCTCCCCCCTATTATTTATTTATTTATTTATTTATTTATTTTATTCGATTTATACCCCGCCCTTCCCGCAATGCGGGTTCAGGGCGCCTACAACAGACACCCTGTGAGGTAGGCAGGGCTGAGAGACCTCTTTCCAGAACTGTTGGTCTGAAGCAACAGAACAAAGTTTGAGTCCAGTGGCACTTTTAAGACCAACACAGTTTAATTCTGGGTAGAAGCTTTGGTGTGCATCTGAAGAAGTGTGCACGGCACAAGGAAGCTTGCGCCCAGAATTAAACTTTGCTGGTCTTAAAAGTGCCCTCTGGGCTCAAACGTTGTTCTAAAATTTCTTATAAGACAGAGAACAGAAATGCAACCGAGGGGTCGTCAGAGCAAGGCAGAGCGGAGTTTTAGAAGGCATTTGAGGCACAACGGAGAGGAATGGTGATGGACTCTGAGATGTCTCAGTCCTCTGTTGACAAATGGCTCCTAGAATTTTAGTGGGCTTCAGGCAGGTGGGTCAGCTGTGGTTCTGGAAGTCATTCCCTGAAACCCCAGACAGGCACACACAGATACGCATGTCTGCTTCTGTGCACCTAGACGGGATCGAAGGCCCAATTTCAGAGCTGGTTCAGATAAGAAACCTTCTTTGGTTCGGTAGAAATTCAAGGTAGCACCTGTGGTTCTTAAGACTGCCGATCTAGTGACTGTCAAATGAGCCTTCTAAGACGGTTTCCCTAAAGATTACTGCAAGTTTTTAAAAAGTGCTGCATTGGTCTTTTGGGGTGTAATCTATGATCCACTTGAATTACAAGGTCTTTTTCTAAAGACCACCTCAATGACGGATCAGGTCTTCACCAGGGGACTTTCCAGAGGGGAGAGAGGAAGCAGAAGCAGAAACATAGTTCCCCCCGGGGTCATTTCCTAGAAAAAGAGGTGCAGGAGCTCATTAGCATAACTCATTAGCATAACCTATTTGCATATGCCACGCCCCCTGACATCACCGGAAGTGTGTCAGAAGGCAACACCCACTGCTCAGGCTCCACTGGACTGTTTTGGATTGCTAGCTATTGGGGGGGTGGGGAACGTGCAGATCTGTCCTTGCAGAGGAGGGAGAGCTGTTACCTGAATGAAACTTGGTCTTAAAGGTGCCACTGGACTGTTTTGGACCAGGGGGGCTCTGCAACGTACCTGGCTGCTTTTTGCTCTGACTGAGGGCTGCTGGGAGCAGGGGGCAGGGCTTGTTGCATGTGCCAGCCCCCTGGGCTCTTTACTGCCAAAGCTCCACTCCTGTCCACTCCTGCTGGAAATGACCCCTGGTTCCCCTCACCAAATAAATAAAATAGATTTTCATTGCTCATCTTTTTGGCTCTACTCATAGCTTCCTGTGTGCATCCTCCCCGACCCCAGAAGATGGGGAAGAGCTGCAAAGTGGTTGTGTGCGGGCAAGCATCCGTCGGGAAGACCTCCATCCTGGAGCAGCTTCTGTATGGGAACCATGTGGTTGGTAAGAGTTGACTTTTGTTGTGTGAGTCGGGTGGCCAGCCTCCAGGAGGTCAGCCACACAAGAATGGAAATACAGCAAATACAGTTGTGCAAAGAAGTAACCAGAATAATCTGTCACGCTGTACAAGAAGTCACCCTCGCGACTTCCGTCTTCTTACCCAGTTCTGCTTACAGTTATAAACAATATACATTCCTGGCTATTTCCAAGCTATTTGGAATATATGTGTGGACCTCATGTCATTTGGAATCTTGCCAGAGCTTGGGTGGGCTCCAATCAGGGCTCTTTTTGTAGCAGGAACTCCGTTGCATATTAGGCGACAATTAGGCGACACCCCCCCTAATGTAGCCAATCCTCCAAGAGTTTACAGAGCTCTTCTTACAAGGGCTACTGTAAGCTCTTGGAGGATTGGCTACATTAGGGGTGTGTCGCCTAATATGCAAAGGAGTCCCTGCTACAAAAAGAGCCCTTAAGAAAAGCGGCCTGATGAAGCCCAAAGAAATGGCGAAGCGTCCTAGGCGTGCCGTCACCGCTCCTTTGATTCGTGCTACAGCTCTTCTTGAGACCATGCCATCCACTGTGTGTTTTTCTTGTTGAAATTCTTCTCTGCATCATGAGCCAGGGACTGCATCATTCTAAAGAGAGACTTGTACTTTCAAGGACTATCAGGTCACCTTTCAACCGGTGTAGATGTCATTTAGGCACAGTGGCAAAAACATTTGTTATATGTATTGTTTATAACTGTAAGTAGAACTGGATAAGAAGACGGAAGTCTTGAGTGGCTGCGATCATACGCAGAATTAGACCCGACATAGGGGTGAATACCGGGTGGTTTTAAAAGGTGCGATCAGACAACAACCAGTATTCCCTCTAAGGTGAGTGAGTGTGAGCTAGCTCACAGTTTTTTAGCCTCCGGCTCACACATTTCTGTCTTAGCCCAGGAAGGAGGGCTCCAGAGCAAACTAATTTATGCAGCAGCCAAATTGCTCGCTCGCAACCTTAATACCAGTGGCTCACAAAGTAGAATTTTTGCTCACAGGACTCCACAGCTTAGAGGGAGCATTGACAACAACATCTAGGAAGTGCCCCGCAACCGTTGGCAACCCATTCTGCTCTGCTGCAGAAGTGGAGTTAAAAGACACCAAAGTTGTTTGGAGCATTTTCAATGTTATGGGCTCGTCTTGTGGGTCTCTCTTTTTGTTTTTACTATCGGCGGCCATTTTGAAAATCGTTCGATCGCACTACAAATTCTTCGAAAAACGGCTTATTTTGCGATTTTTTACTCACCCTTTTGAGCGCCATGGAATCCGGAGTGTTGTATTAAATCAATCCTTGTTGCGGGGGTTGTTTATTTGTGATTTTCAGACGTTCGCATGGGCCATTTGGGCGGGGTGGAAACAGAGCGTCGGATTTAGGCGTCCATGCAGCAGCGCTCCGACGCCACGCCCCCCAACAACAACATCTAGGAAGTGCCCCGCAACCGTTGGTCCATAGGGTGCCCTCAGTGCAGAGATGCAATTCTTCATGTATGCGCATGGGAAACAAATGGCCACCCCCCCCCCACTCACCTGCAGTTGCATCTGGTCACACACTGACGGGCTGTGCCCACAGCTTCAAAGGGAGGTGTGATCTCGCAACTGAGGGTCAAATTCCTCTGGAGGAAATAGCCTTGCTTCCCTCCCATTTTATCTGGCGTGTGTGACCGCACCCGAGTGCGATTTTTGTACAGCGTGACAGATTATTCTTAAATGATTTTAGACAGGGGAAGGGGTTTCCCCCCCCTCCCTAGAAGGCCTCTCACACCTCCTCTGCAGGTTAAATAATATTTTCATTTGAAATTATGTGTTGATTTTGTTAATGAAGTTTCAATTAAGTTAATGACGTTATGTTCTCGTATGCCGTCTTCTGCTTGTTAAAAAAGATTTTAGACGGCTTTAAATTTATGGAAGGAAAGCAGTATGGACATATTCAGGCAGGGTCCTGTGCAGAAAAGGGGGAAAATATTAATGTGACTTCAAGGGCTGTGAGATATCTGAATCCATGTATCAACTTGCTACCTTCTAAGGGCAAGGCATGCATCACAAGCAGCGTGTGCAACCACGCTATGGCTATTTTTTAGAAGGGAACACAACTGTTTGGGATTTTCAGGGGATGCTGTTTAACCTTTTCTACAACATGAAGACAGATTCAGGTGGCGGCCATGTTGGTCTGAAGTAGCGGAACAAAGTTTGGGTCCCACAGCAACTTTAAGACCAACAAAATTTAATTCTGGGTATGCTTTTGCGTGCGGCTATCTGAAGAAGTGTGCGTGTCCACAAAAGCTTAATCCCCAGAATTAAACTTTGCTGGCCTTAAAGGTGCCCCTGGACTCATTCCATTCCTTTCCACATCAGTCAGTTTTCTGCTCCGAACCGTTTCCTCCCAACCACTTTTCCTCCCCCAGGATTCTAGGTTCAAAGCAGCCCTTGCCAATGTTTTGACATCACCAACAAAAGACCAACTGTGTAATAAAATCACAACAAAGCATGAAATGTAAATTATTACCAATAACCATAAATGCCTTTTGCCTCAATCAGTGGATATGGGAGACGCAGCTCCCCATCAGGTTTACATTATTTAGAAACAACACTAAGACTTTTGTTTCAGACTGCTTTTGATAAAGCTTCGTTAGCGATACGTGGTCAGCAGCCGGCGACACGTCAAGCAGCTGGAAGCAGCTGGGAAACCGGCCAGGCAGCTTGGTAACCGGCCAAAAATAACTTGGACACCAGCCAAGCTCCTTGGAAATTAAGATATCGAGTCATGCTACTTCCTTCGTTACAAGTCATTTTTTTTAATTAACGATTTTTTATTTCAAACAACAGAAAACATTCAAAACATTGAAGAACAGTGGAACTAGATACTGTTATACAGAAGCTTATATAAAATGCTAAAGAGGTTTACATACGGTGAAATACTTCGTAATACTTTTCTGGAACATTGAATTTTGATGACTGAACATTAAACATAAACCCGAGAAAGGGAAACAATTTCAGATGAAGATTAGAGTTCTTATGGTAATGATTTGCATTAGCAAGTACATCAGAAATTTTATCCATAATATAGTAATCGCATATTTTCAAACGCCAAGATGATAATAATAGCTTGTTGGGGGATTTCCAACTACTGGCAACCACCTTAGCAGCCATCAGTAAGATCGAAATAAGTGTTGTCTAAGTTTAGGGATATGGGAATTGTTCCAGTAACTTAAAAGTATAAGCTCAGGTTGCCTAGGAATCAAATAACCTGTGATATCTTTGATAGATAAAATTACCTTGGACCAAAATTGCTGGACACATGTACACGTCTGCCAACAATAGATGAACATACCTCGTTCACCACAGGATCACCAGCAGTGTGAGGGGTTACAAGTAATTGACATTAATTGTGAACACTTTGGACCATTTTGATTCTTTAGCATTTATGAATTATCTATGTTTGTAGTGGTGCTTCTTTATTGGATTCATATATTTTGTTGGTGATGCTTTCAGTATGTAATGATTATTGGTAGTAATTTACATTTCATGCGTTGTGATTTTCTTACACAGTTGGTCTTTTGTTGGTGATTCTATATTGTGTATTTCACTTGTTGTTGTTTGCTTCAGTGTTTTGACATCAGCATGTGGAGCTGGATACTTGAGCTCCAGGTACGAGTCAGGAACGAAGAAGAGAGTGGGGCCCGTGACTTCCAAAGAAGGGTGGGTGGCAAATCAGACTGTCCACGACGATAAACACCTTTATAGCGAAGAGCAATTCCTGTGTTGGTAGAACTGACAGCCCTCTGATGTCTGCAGGTTCAGAGATGATTGAAACTCAGGAGGACATCTATGTGGGCTCGATCGAGACCGACCGAGGGGTGCGGGAACAGGTGCGCTTCTATGACACCCGAGGCCTGAGGGATGGCCTGGAGCTGCCCAAACACTGCTTCTCCTGCACGGACGGCTACGTGCTGGTTTACAGCATTGACAGCAAAGAGTCCTTCAAGAGGGTGGAGGTGCTCAAAAAGGAGATCGACAAGAGCAAGGACAAGAAGGAGGTCTGTGAACGGCACTCTGAGATGCCTGGGTCTAGGACTCTGCTTTTCAACTTCCCGCCCTTGGGAAGCCCATTCCAGACTGGGTTTTCTGCGGAGGATCCTGAGCGTATCTGCCACAGAATCCCTACCTCTTGTAGACGATTTGGGGGTTTACTGAAGAGGGCCAGTTTGGTGTAGTGGTTAACTGCACGGACTCTAATCTGGGAGAACCGGGTTTGATTCTCCACTCCTCCACTTGCAGCTGCTGGATGACCTTGGGCAAGCCATAATTCTGGCAGAGCTGTTCTCTCAAGGACAGTTTCTGTCAGAGCTCTCTCAGCGCCACCTACCTCACAGGGTGTCTGTTGTGAGGAGGGGAAGGGAGACTGTAAATTGCTCTGAGACTCTAAGTGAAAGGCGGGGTATAAATCCAATCTCTTCTTCTATACTGTTTGGTTTGCCTGGTATAGGATGGCAACCCCCTCCCTCAGTCCTCTGCCTTTGATGATTTATGAGTGGGAGGGAAAAAAATGGGGTGGGGGAATCACATTGATGGTGACACTCTAGGAAATCCCCCCAACTCTATGGTAAAGTCCACAGAGATTGGAGGGATTCCTAGAGTGTCATCCAGTAGTGACACCACATCCCTCTAAACCTGAACTTAAAAGTGTCATCACATCTTCTGAGACACTCTAGGAACAACCTGTCTCTATGGTATTTACCCATAGAGTTTTGGGAAATTCCTAAAGCATCACAGAGGGTGTGATGTCACATCCCCTAAAACTCCACCCTCCTCAGGCACCACCCCCCACAATCTTCTGAGGTTTGTTGGTGCAGTGCTGGCAATCCTAGGCTGGTACCCTGTGTAGAGGAATAATTAGGTGGTACACGCCTCAGGGCTCCTGCTTCGTATGGCTGAACGAAGGATTGCACAGGGCAAATGGCATCCCAGGGCTAGGCCCTTGCTCTGCAGTGCTGGAGTTCCTGTCCCATCCCTGCTCTCGGGTACAGCATGGGAGCCTTTTCCTCCCACCTCAGAGACCTGCCAGAACCTCTGCAACATCAGTGAAGTTGTGGGGGTTCTAGCAAGCCAAGAAGACGAGGAGATTGGATTTATACCCCACCCTTCACTACCCAAAGGTGTCTCAGAGTGGCTTACAATCTCCTTTCCCTCCCCCTCCCCACAACAGACACCCTGTGAGGTGGGCGGGGCTGAGAGAGCTCTGAGAGAAACTGCTCTTTTTCAGGAACAGCTCTGATCAGAACTATGGCTTGCCCAAGGTCATCCAGCAGGTGCGAGTGGAGGAGTGGGGAATCAAACCCGGTTCTCCCAAATTAGAGTCAGATGGACGGGAAGCAAGCTGAGCCCCAGCCAGTGGGAAACCATTTGGTGGGAAACCAGCCTTTTGGTGGAAAACCAGCTCCGGCCCTTTTGGCGGAGAGCCAGCCCCGCCTGCTGAGCAAAGTGGTGTGGTGTGCTGCTCTTCATCCCATCTGCTCCCTTTACCACACATGCCCCTCTAGGCTTGTTAGCCCATGGGACCTGGTGGGAGATGGTGGAGGCAGGGACTTATGTTCTCCGTGTCACACCAACATGATGACCTCACTTCTGGCAGAGCCTGGAAATGACATTCCATGGGTGACACTCTAGCATTTACCCCAAACAGTACCGTTTAACCACAGAGTTTCAGGCAACTGCTAACTTATGTTCTCCGTGTCACACCAACACGATGACCTCACTCCTGGCAGAGCCTGGAAATGACATTCAATGGGTGACACTCTAGCATTTACTCCAAACAGTACCATTTAACCACAGAGTTTCAGGCAACTGCTAGAGTGTTGCCCAACATGGCGAAATCACTTCCGGGTCATGCTGGAAGCGAAATTATGGTGTTGGGGGCTGCTGATGGCCTCTTCCATTTCACCTGGCATTCCCCCCCCCCCGCCACCTTGCTGAGTGGGTGGGCAAAGGTGGGAGGAGGGCAGGATATCGCCCACCAAAGAGGGAGACCTGGTAATACTGTGCATACCCTTGTTCTCGCTTACCCCCACTGGGCAACCACATTTC